ATTGGACTTGTGGGCTTGGGCAACACTGGGTTGGGATGTTTTTTTGATGTTAACTTAACGTTTATCTAAAACTCTCCTTTAAACATGAGTTTCTGTGGATTTGTTTCTCTAAAGTACCCAGACTGACACAGTGGGTATGGGCATTTTTTTCTAGCAGATTTTTATTCTGTCCAGATATTATTCTATTGCTCATTTTACATCACAATCATCTTATTAGGAGCCTTGATTGAGGGTAATTTTTCTTCTCAGATTGCACAGTCGTAGAGCTCCATCTTTGATTTAAAAAATTATTCAAAAGTGTATAAATTGCTTTCTGAATTCTCTTGGCCCTATTGCTCTCCTCTGCTATTATCTGAACGTTCTTTCCTTTTGGGGGGGCCTGTTTTATCCCTGCCCTCAGCGAAATGGACTGACACCGTCGCTGCAATAATGGACGCAGCCATAAGGGCAATTGTGAAGATGGTGCAGGACCGCTCCGTGGTCCAGTCTGTTGTACGCAGGGTGATGATAAGGCGGAGATGACTCGATGTCACCTAACAATCAAAACAACAGCAACAGCAACATATCCCTGCTCAATTTCGAGTCTTTTCTACCTGGTTTCTCTTCTGAGCGGGGTTTTGATCTGGAAAGGACCTTTAGATGATTCACCTTGAAAATTTCTAGGACCCAAACTATACCAGAGACCCTTGGCATCCAATCACTGTTTGAAGGTGCACGCCCTTCCTAGTTTCTGTCGTACAGATATTAGCCTGCTGAGATTTGAATGAGTGATTTGAAAGTTCTCAGGTCTACCAGAGGCCCTGTTGATTCATTGTTACTTATTTTTCCACAGCTGATATGAAATAGATCTTAACAGCTCTCTGTGGCTTGTCCTCTCCTCGTGCATTCTATAGGGGCTCACTGAGGAAGCCTTTCCATCTGGTTTTGATGTAGATTCTGTCTGTGGACTTTGGTGTTGCTTTGGTACCTGTCCTACTTGCCTTGTTTATGTTTGGTTATAATTCTCCATTGGGGGAGATTCGAATTTTATGCTGCCGCCACACCTTCCTTCCAGAATTTCTCTCTCTGATAGGGAGCTGCAAGCTAATGCCCAGCAGACAAAATCCTGCCCACTGCCTGATTTTGTACATCCTTAGAGCCCCAGTGACATAGTGGGTTACTCTTTGAGTTGCTCACCATAAGGGTCAGCAGTTCGAACCAACAAGCTATTCCCTGGTGAAAGATGAGGCTGTTTTGTTCCCAGTAAGACTCACAGCCTAGGAAATTCAAAAGGGCACTTCTCCTTTGTGCTATAGGATCTCTATGAGTTGAAATGGACTCCCTTGAAATACAGGAAGGAACGCTGGTGACTTCGTGGGTTACACATTGAGCTGTTAACCACAGGTCAGCGTTGTGGCCCTACCAACTACTCAGCTTCCATCAAGAGTTACAGGCTCTTCTGATAGGGGCATGGCAGGCGAGAGGGTGGGAAATGGGGAGCTAGCAACAATGAGTATGAGAAGAAAATGTTCTGGAATTGATTGTGGTGGTGATTGTACAAATCTTCTTAATATGATTCAATGGTATGATAATGTGAAGTATATGCAAATAAAACAAATTTTAAAATAAAGACCCCAAAAAAATCACACCAACAACTCTGGAGGGATGAAAGACAAACTTGAAAGAAATATAACCCAGGAAGAGTTTTGAAGGTGGCTTATCAGAAAATGATATATGCTGATTTTCTGTCTATGAAATCCAAGATAGGTAGATCTACAGAGACAATAACTAGATTGATACTGCTGAGGGGCATGGCCGGGGAGGCTGGAGGGAAAGGGGGAGCCAATATGCTTGAATGATTAAATTTAATTAAACTTAAAAAAAGAAAAGAAAGATCTACAGTCTCAGGAACCCAAAGAACCAGAGGGGTAATTCTACTCTGTTCGATTGAATCACTGTGAATTGGAAGTGACGCAGTGGATGGATAAGCCTTATTTATTTATTTAAATGTATTAAGCTTGTTAGGAAACAACGTAAAAGAAGAATACTCATGCATGGCCCGCGGAAATGATCTGGAAGTCACCTTTGAGTGGCCATGAAGTATTATGAGAGCACTCATTTATGGGTTTTCTGTGGCCGCTGTCATGTTACAGCAGCACAATGGACTTGTTGGGCAAGAGACCATATGCTCTTCAGAATAGAAAATGTTTAAGATTTGGCCATTTACAGAAAAAGTGTGCTGACCCTTAGCCCATTTTATATATATGCGTGTGTGTATGTGTATGTACTCTACATATATATGTATGTATGTATATATATGTGTGTGTGTGTGTGTGTGTGTGTGTATATAAAATCCTAGGATAGGGGTGGTGGCATAGTGGCTTACACGTTGGGCCATTAACTGTAGGGTCAGCAGTTTGAAACCATTCTGTGGGAGAAAGATGAGGCTTTCTACTCCCATGAAGATGAACAGCCTCAGAAAAGCACAGAGGCGGTTCTACTCTGTCCTGTAAGGTAGCTGTGAGTCGGAATTGATTTGATGGCCATGGGTGTGAGTTTAGATCCTATATATAGGGGCCCTGGGGCCCAACAGTGAGGCACTTGCCTGCTAATTAAAGCACCAGTCAGTGCTTTAATTGCCTGCTAATTAACAGGCTGGCAGTTTGCAGCCACTAGCTACTTCATGGAAGCAAAGACCTGGCAATCAGCTCGCATAAAGATTGCAGCTTAGGAAACCCTTTAGGGCAGTCCTTTTCTGTCCATCATGTCCCTCTGAGCCGAAAGTGGACTCCACAGCACCTAGCAAGATCAATAGCAATCAGACTAACACTTTTCCAAAAATAACTGGAACATCTGTCGCCAGCGGAGTGGCTAGTGGGTTCTCACTGCCAACTTTGGCTTAGCAGCCCAGACAGTGTTGTTACCCACGACTTCATCAGAGTCCTTGCTCGTTTTAAATGGAGGCGTAGTATTGCGTTGTATGCCTATATTGTAATGAACTTAACTAAAGCCCTGTTGTTGAGCATTTCCCAGAAGTGATTTGTAAACTTCAGGTAGTTATCATTTCACAGCCACGTGTTTAGGGACATACTTGATTATCTTCTTGTGATACAATTTAATGAGTAGGATTGTTAAAGTGTGATTGATATAGACAAATTATGGTCCAGTAAATTAAATAGTCATTAAGGACACAGGTAAGGAGCCTGGGTGGTACAAGTGGTTTGCAACCCTATGCTAATTGAAAGGTTAGCAGTTCAAATCTACCCAGCGGCTCGGCAGATGCAAAGCTCTGGGGGTCTGTTTCTGTAAAGATCACCAGGCATGAGTTTAGGGCTCATTCAATAGCAGCTAAAAATAACAAGATTATTGGTCAAATTATGGTAATTCATGTAATGGCATAGGCAGAGGTTAAGGAATTTGAAATATTTTTACTGCTGTGTAAAATATATATAACTGCTGTTAAATGAAAAACCCAAGTTACATATGTAAAGTCTGATTCCTTTGCAGTTTGCATTATTAAGGAAATATGGGATTAGAACATATACACTTAATTTATTCCAAAGAACAAGTTTAGATTGCAACCAGGTTATTGTCATTGGGTCCATTCTGACTCATGCCCACCTTAAAGGACAGGGTAGAACTGCCCCTGTGGAGATCCAAGACTGTCATTCTTTCTGGGAGTAGAAAACTTCATCTTTCTCCTTTGGAGCTGACTGACTGGTGCTTTCAAACTGCTGACCTTGCGGTTAGCAGCCCAACACGGAACCGCTGTGCCACCGACACTCCATAGAGCAGTATATAGGAATGAATATTTTGCCACATTTTTGCCAACATCGTGGTATCTACTTTTTCCAATTCTTGCCAGTTTGATAGAATAGAAAAGGATGTTATATTTTTTTTATCTTACATATCACATTGTATGTATTTTTTCATACATTCATTGGCTAAAATGATATTTTTTATGAAATAATGGTTCATTGTCCATTTTGTCCCTGCAGTATTCATGCATCTTTTCCTTGGTGACTTTTCAGAGTTCTTTGTATGCCAGACCTTTATGTATCAAATATAGCTATATCAAACACTTTAGTTTATTGCATATGTTTGCCTCGTGTTGTATTTAGGGTAATGATATGAGAAACATTTTCTTCTTTATACGATCAAACAATCAAACCTTCCATTTCCAAAGTGTAGAAAACCATTCCCTTGTCTGAAGTATCTGTATATTTTTCTAATATTAATTTGAATTTTTTATAATTAGGTCTTTAATTCATCAATAATTTATTGCTGTCAGGGAAGGGTTTAACCTTCATTTATCAAATGCTTAGTCAGTTGTTCCAGCACCATTTATTAAAGAAACAAGTCATTTCAAGGCTATATAATTTCTTCACGTTGTCTTATAATACAAACATGTATTTCACATTAAAAAATCAGGATTATTGAGGTATCATTTGCTTACAATAAAGTTTACCTCTGTAAAATGTTTCCAAAAATAGAATTGCAGATTTGACAAATGTGTTGAGTCTAGTGGAGAGTACTTTGAAGGTAATAATATTGTTTTGTAAAAAAAAATTAAATACAGAGCTTTTGGGGGGTGGGAATTCCATTTTTTAGGGTACCTCCTTGTAAGTATGCAATTGTCGAACCAATTATCCCAATTCAGTTTGACTGTTACAAAAATAAAGGTAGAAATTAGTATCGCAGTGAAATTGTCAAAGAAACTACCCTTCTTTTTTCCCACCTTCTTCAAGAATTTTGTTTCCGCTTTTAGAAAGGTCCACATTTGTTTTATCTCTCGAGATAGCCACTTAATATCAAAATCCCATGTTCTTCCTCCATCTACTGTTAATTCCCAATGGTTTTGTTTCACAAAAGATTCAAATAGGTAAAACTTATTTAATGTAAAAACACAGAGCATATGGTTCCGTGCACGCTGACTTAAAAGGAAGCATTGGTTGGGAGTACTCAGGGGGAGGAAATCCTGTTTAGAAAAGTCATTGTGTCTGTGTTTGCTTGCCTTCTAGCACTGGAAGAAGTATGACATTTATGACAAGCAAACCAAAGAAGAAACGGACTCTGTGGTGCTGATCGAAAACCCGAAGAGAGCCTCCCAGTAACGGAGCCTTTGGATTTGTCCCTTTGCCATGTGAGCTTGTGAAGATTCCTCCCGTTCTCCATTTGTCACCTGGGAACTTTTTACCTGGAAACGGAAAGTACCGGGCCATTTAAAACCAGGCAGCTCATAAGAGCCACGGGTCTTCATAGTGAATCGTGCATGGCTCCCCCACCCCACAAAAAAAATTCCCTAAAAATAATGGGCCCTATGGAAAAGAAGGTGGAGTCCTCCTCATTGAATTATAAAAGCAGACATCCTTTAGCAAGGCTTCCAACCTGAGGAAAAGCAAAACCTGATTATGGTCATTGGGTTATTATCAAAAGTTGCGCCAGCTTCTTGAGCGATCTCTACCTGCTTTGTATTCTTTGTGTCAAACAGCACCACCAAATTTTCTTGGGGGTGGGGTGTCATTTTGGGTGGCTCATGCTATTATAAACCTGAGTCATCTCGCACATCCAGCAAACAAAACTGATAAAAATCCATGAGCTGTACTTTGGGTTCCTTTAGAGTAATGTTAGTGGGCATTAGACTCCTTTGTGCCTGCTTCCAAAGCTCTGGAAATTCGTGTTGGCCATGAGGTGATAGGTACTACAAAAGCAGAGGCACCCTCTTTACTAAGTACTTTCCAAGTCATTGCTGACTTGGAAAAGCACTGGAGACCCAGTGACCCATTGGGTCATGCGCTCCGAACCGTGCGGTCTGTGGTGCTGCATCGCTTACCTTCACCTCAGCCCATCACATCAAGTAGTTACTATATTTCGGGCCTGTGCTAGAACCCTGGGTTTGAGGCACCAGCCCCCTTAAAATCGACTTGGGACTCCTTGGTGCTTACTGCCCTTGTCACCCCATCAGCCAGTTTTCAGATCTTTGAACTCCTCCATTGATTCCCTTCTTTTACTGCCTCCTCATTCAAGCCTCTCTTTCACCTGTCATTGGAAAGGAACATCTACATGTGCCCTGAACACTCGGAGGGGTGGGGTAACTTGCTCTTAGGTAGAATGTAAGTAGACTGAGAAACAATGATTTCGGCTCGCATATTCTATAACTTCTGGATAAGTCCCCCTTTGTTCGAGGGGTTTCAGGGTTCAGAGAGAGTGAGTGTGTACGTGTGTGTGGTTTTTGTTTTCTGAGATATCTCACTTAGAACTTTGTTGTTTGCTTGAGAAAGGGGAAAAAAAAGAATTGTTGACTATTTTTCTCTTCCTTGACTAGGAACCCTGGTAGCGCTGTTGGGTAAGTGTTGGACTATTGTAGTCACCACTAAGTTAAAGGTTCAAATCGACCAGCGCCTCCATGGGAGACAGATGAGGCTGCGTGTGCCCGTCAAGATTTACAAAAGCCCCAAGAGGGTCACTATGATGTAGAATCGACTTGATGGCAACAGGGTCAGGTTTGACACGATGGGCCCCAGGAGACCTCTTTTCCCTTACTGCCACAAACGGTTATTATGAGAGTTCCCGTCTTGTGCTGAGAGGCCGCTTTTTGCATCTGTTAGAATCCCATGCTCACCCATCCCAACAGTGTATCCATACTCTGAATTCCTCCAAATTTAAAGAGGTGGAAGTGAGAGGTTCCCCCACCCACCCACACACACACACTAGGTGTTTCTCCCCTCACACACACAAGTGTTTAAAGTGTTTACCCATTCATATTACGGTAATTAAGAAAATGATACTACTTACAGCCCCAAGTTCTTTGGGAGGAAGAAATCAGAGGTCCCCTCACCCCCCCCCAAAATGTGGGCTACAGTGGCCATGTGCTTCCAGCAAGGTGGGAGAGCCCCACTCCCCGACTTTCCTGAACAGTTTGGGATTCATGACAAATGGTGGAGGTAAAGTTCTTCCGTGACTGTCTTAGATTGAGGCTGGGAGTCAGACTCAGTGAATACTTTGTTCTTTCATTGTCTAGAAAAAGTATTCATTTCTGGAGTCAGGAAATGTTTGCTATCCAGGCATTGTTTATATTCTGGGAGACAAGCCACTGAAAGGCCTCACTGAGAGCCAGTTTTACTGTTGTCTTATTTAGACTACAGTTGAGTCCCCTGTTACTGAGTGTGGGGGAAACCCTTTTGTTTGCATCCTCTTAGAGCAGTAAAATATAGAGACCAGGGAGCATAGTGGGCTACAAATTGAGCTGCTAACCTCAAAGTCAGTAGTTCGAACCCACCAGTAGCTCCATAGGAGAACTATGAAGCTATCTACTCCTATAAAGATGAAAAGTCTTGAAAATCCAGAGGCAGCTCTACTTCTGTCTTAGAGGGTTGTTATGAGTCTGCATTGATTCAAGGGCAGTGAGTTTGGGCTTTGGGGACAGGAGTGTTATAACTAAAGGAAGGGGGTGAATTTTGGGAGTACCTGTGGCTGTTGAATAATTGCAGCAAAGTCACCCTCAAGTTTGGGGGAGATTCAACGTATCAGAGCCAGTACCATCACCGGCAGGAAGCTAGTAGGTTCATGTACTATATCGTGTTTCACCTGTATGGACTCCGCTCCCCCATGCCCAAGTAAACCCACTGTCCAGACTGTCATTCTTATTCTTTCATTTTGACAAGTTGTTCTTCACCTTGACCCTGAAGGGATATGTGAAACTATGTTGTGAACATTTTGCATACTATCTTCAACTAGGGAATCATCTTGCTGAACTTCGTATATGAAAGCTTGAGTAAAATAAATATGAAATGTCTTTTTGTAAGTCACACCAGTGTTCTCCTTGAGTCTTATTTTGGTGTTGAAAGAAGTGGATGGCAGGGAAAAAATGGAACTGAAAGCATACATACACCCACACACATACAATGAGGTAGTTAATTATCTTTTAATCATTGATTATAAACCTCCCTGCTATCCTGGGTCGGTGTGCCTTTTCTGATAAGTTGAGAGTGGGACAGCTTTTGTAGTGAGCACCTAAAGAGACGCAAAAACTAAAAAGCTCATATAATTTGTTAAATGGTGATTCTAATTATTAAGGGGAATGGAGAGCTGACCCTTTCTAAGATGATAGAGTACATTGTATTTATAGGCGCATTGTGTTTATAGGGGCACATGGTATATAGGTGATGGGGGCCCTCTGATTATAAGTTAATCATAGTAGCTAATTTGTTTTGAGACCACTCGAGGGGAACGTATAACAGAATGTCAGGGGAATGGATACAGTGAATGGTGTAAGATATGGCCCAAAAAAGGTGATAAGAGCTTTCGACCCATGAAATTTGGGGGACGGATCACATCTGCAGGAACAGTAGTGGGAGTAGCAATATCATGAGGGTAGGGGATGACCAGGAAGGGAGAAGGGGGAGAAAGGAGGAACCCATCACAAGGTTGGATCTATAGCCCACCCCCCAGGGGAACAACTAACAGAAATGTGGATGAAGGGAGACAACAGACAGTGTAAGACACGAAATAGCAATAATGTATCAAGGATTCGTGAGAGGGAGAGGGAGGGGGAAAAAGAGCTGATAACCAAGGGCTCAAGTAGAAAGATGTTTCGGAAATGTCGATGGCAACATATGTACAAGTGTGCTTGTACATGCAATTGAATGATGGATTGTTAAAAGATTCATGAGTCCCCCAATAAAATGATTATAATTTTTTTTTAAAAAAACAGCTTTCAATACTTGCTCTCTTAAGAATTGCTTGTGTAGTTTCATGTTTTCTATTTTTGGGGGGTTATCTCATAGTACTTATAAAATGAAAATATTTTAAAACTACTTTATTGTGTTTTGCTGAGAGTTTACATAGCAAGTTAGGTTCTCATTCAATAATTTCTATATATATTTTTCAATGACATTGGTTACATTTTTCACATATCAGCATTTTTTAGTGGTTTTCTTGATATAGTATTCACAAATCATATACCTCGACGGTTAAATCGCTTTTAAAATGAGTTGTATATACATAGTCACATTCCGTTCCAGTGCTCCTTCCCGTCCCAGTTTCCTTGTTTGCTCCCCATCTGCCCTCACCCTTCCTATCCCCCCCCCATTCCCAATCAACCATTGTATCAGTAACTATCTTTGTGCATCTACTCCGATGCTTCACAAACTGGGAAACCCAGCAGTAACAATAAAAAACAAAAGCCAGAGAAAATGGCAAGAATAAAATAATAATAATATACAATTGTAAGTAATAAGCAAGCAAAGACCACCATCGATATTTAAAAAGTCAAGTCAGAAACTTTGGTCATGGAACAAGCAAATGCCTGAGCCCAGAACAAAGTCAGGTTGGGTCAAGAGGGAGGTCAACTGGGCAAGTGTCAAAATAAGTCGTGTTCGACCCACTATCATCAAGTTCACCATCGTCTCTGGTAGTACAGCTGTTTGAGGACCTGGCCTGTGGCTAGAAGGGATCTGCCAGAGACCTCATCTCACTGGATCGTCTGCAGATGGATTGGGGGCTGCCACGATCCCACATCCCCACAGTCTTCTAGAAATTGGGTGTTCACGATTGAAGCTCTGATACTTTCCCCCTCAGCATATTTGGATTTTCTTATTGTCATCTTTGGGTCAGACAGGCTGGTGGGCTTCTTCCCTGTGCACTTGGTTAATGCCTCAGAGGACTACTAGTTTGAATATAAGCCTCTAAGACCTCAGACACTCTTCTGATTGGGAGCTGGTCATCATCTGCTCCCCTCACCTTTGTTCCTATTTCCTATAGACAGCCACATGATTTGTCACAGGGAATTGCCTTCTCATCCGCGTTAGCTGTGTGTCTTTCACCAGAGGATCCTGTCCATCAGTGGCTTTACAGGATCCCACCCCCAGGGTGAGGGTTGGGGCCACTGATGTTAGTCAGCCAGATTATTTCTCCAATTATCCAAAAGTATCAAGGAAGACGCTGGAAATCCATCTCTGGTAAATTATAGTGTTTTGCTTTGGATTAGAAACCTGACTCATAGCTCATCCACTCTGAGTATTATGACGGAAAACATTAACTGAGGGCTCTTGTGATTGTATGTTCGTATTAGATCTATAGATAGCCAATTCCTGTGACTTACAAGCGTGTTCCCCTCACCCCGTTTTAGCTGTTTTTAACACGAGTGATTCATTTTCCAGAGCCGCTGACCGTTTTGTTGTTTCCATGCACACCTACTCTTGCAAATCCAACGTCACAGCCACATTAATAGATGGAGCTGAGTGACCAGCCCAAGTTTTGGTCACAGACTGGAGGAAAGGGAAAGGGAAAAACTGTTAGTTGATCAAGCAAAGAGCATGCTGGGAGTAGAATGGCCAAGGCCAGCTCCGAGGAAAGGGGATTTGCCATTTCCCATGTGCACACTAGGAGGAAAATCGAGGGGCTAATGAATACGGAACATTTCCAAGGTTGGAGAGCAGTCTCAGAATATTTTGCTAAAACCATTAAGCTGGCCGTTTGAGAAGAAAGCAAGGGACAGAAGACCCTTTCTTTCAGAGATGGTTTTCTTTTCAACACTAGTGATTATTAGGTCAAGCAGTCAAGTTCTTGCAAGTACTGTAACTACATCTGGGC